GGCTTTGTGCCTCCCCCGGGGCCATTGGGAGGACCGAATGAGTTGTCCACAGCAATCACGGACCAGAAGTGAGTGCTGCAGGTTTGCCTTCATTAGCTTTATTCTCTGAACGTGGGGTCACTGTGCAGCGCTGGGGATGTGGTGGCCTGGCCTGCAGGATATGCAATTGGTCTCTGGGCTGTTGCCTTTTGAGCAAGGTCTGGGTCAGAGAGTGCTGTCAGCAGAGGTGTTTGTCTGGCACCTACCCCACGCAGCAGAAGTGCTGTGCCTTCCACGGGTCACTCAAGAGAAGGGAAGAAGCAAACTCTGGAACTCTAGGAAAAGCCCCCAGAGTTCCTACAGGGATCTCTGCAGTGCTGAGCTGGTCAGGGCCGTCCTGGGTACGGTGGGTGAGGCAGAGGGGATGTCTCACAGGGTGGTGGGTGGCTTTCCTTTCAGAAACTGGAAGTAAAGTTTTAAAAAATCAGCCAAGCATGGTGCATTGTGCCTATAGTTCCAGCTACTCTGGAGGGTGAGGCAGGAGGATCACTTGGGTCCAGGAGTTGGAGGCTGTAAGAGGCTGTGATGATACCACTGCTCTCTAGCCTGGGCAATAGAACAAGTCCTGGTTTCAAAAAGAAAAGAAACTGGAAGAAGGGAAGGTACCGTACACGGTGGTCAGGGGTTCTGGAATGTGATAATAAGTGAAGCACTGAGATTATGTTACATTGTGCAATTAGATAATATAAAAAATCTGTTTCTAAACACAACCATGCTGTGTAGCCAAATCACCCAGGAAGTCCTCTGCTGCTATAAGAAACTTGTATCAGCAGGTATAATGTTGTCTCATAGAAGAACAAGGGTGGCTCCCAGTACTGCTAGAGACCTGAGCTTTGGGGGGCATCTTGAGCCTAGAGAGAGGCCTCTGGCCACAGTGGGCGCTGTGCTTGTGTCCGAGGTCTGTTCAGCCTATGGTTGACTTTGCCATTCCAGGCTCTTCATTTGTGAGCTCCGAGCTCCTTCCCTTCCCTAGAACAGGTAATGAAGGAAAAAGTCCACATGCCTGGAGGACAGTGTGTGGTTCATCCAGGAAACGTCCAGGCAGGCTTTACTTGCAGGCTGGGCATGTCGTTCTGAAGCTGAGTTTTCCTCTGAAGCCTCCTAGATTTTCAGAAAATGCAGTTCTAATGTCCTCCAGGGGTGGCCAGTATCGTTTGTCTCATTCTGTGGTGGTGCCATGACCTGCAGGATAGGCTTGAACAGAAGTGGAGGGGATGGGTATCTCGGTTACCTGTGGACCATGGAAGGTGGGTCCTCTGTAGACTCTGGCCTCCTGGACTTCTTCCCACATTAAAATGTGTCCTTCCATTCCTAGTTCTCTCATTTTTAAAAATCATGAATGTGTTCAGTTTTATTAAATGCTTGCTTCTATGTCTTTGAGATTATCATATTTTTTGTTACATTGATCTTTAAAAACATAAACCCACTTTATTGACGTATAATTTACACACAACAAAAACCATTCTTTTTAAGTACAGACATACCTTGTTTTATTATGATTTGCAGATACTGTGGTTTCTTATTTTAGGGTTGGTTTTTTGTTTGGGGTGTTTTTAACAAATTAAGGGTTTGTGGCAACGCAGCTCCAAGTAACGATTCTTCCAACAGTATAAACAGTGCGTGCTCACCTCACGTCTCTGTTGTGTCAGCAGTGTGTGTAGATGCAATGCTGTTGCATACTGAAGAGATCACAGCGTAGTGTGAATGTAACTTCTATGTGCACAGGAAACCAAAGACTTTGTGTGACTGGCTTTATTTTCATATTCCCTCTATTTTGGTGGTCTGGGGCCACACCTGCAGTGTCCTCTGAGGTCTGTCTGTGTGTAGTTCTGAGAACTTTAGGAAATGTTTGCACTCGTGTACAAAACCACCATGATCAGGGTGTAGAGCACGCCACCGGCCCTGGAGGTTCTTCCTGCCACTCCCTTTCCTGATCAGTCCCAGACAACCTGCTTTTTGTCAGCATGGATTTGTATTTGGTTCCTAGGGAATCTCAGATAAAATGGAATCGTTATCATCTTATAATCCCCTGCTTTGTGTCTGGTTTCGTTCTTCAAGCACATTTTTAACTTTCAATTTGCACGTAACAGTGATTCGTACGATGGGACACAGGTATTGAGTGGATGTGTTGTGAATTTGTCCGTTCACCTGTTGCCGGTGTTTGAGTTGTTTCCAGGTTGGTGCTGTTGCACTGAGTGTCTGTATGGGTTTGTTTTTGTGTCTCTTGTGTGATTGTGGGGATTGCTAGATGGGATGGCAGGCATCCAGTGACCTCCAGGGGAATACTTAGCAGTTTCTTACAAAGTGTTTGTATCATCCTGCCTCCTGTACTGGCAGCCTTTTTACTTGTAGCCAGTCTGCTGGGCGTCTCTCTGTGGTCTCATTAGTGTTTCCCTAATGACTAGTGAAGAACTTCTTTTAACGTGCCCCCGGCTCTTTCTGTGTCTTTTGCCATGTGTCTGATCAAATCTTTCACTCATTTTCTGAATTGGATTATTCATCTTACTGAGATGTAGGGTTTTTTCTTTTAAGATACTATGCACACAAGTCATTTGTCAGAGACACAGCTGTGTGTTTTGGGATATTTTATCCTAGTCAGTTGCTCACCCCTCCCTTTTTATAATGGAGTCTTTTGAAAATTAAAGTTTTTAACTTTAACGGTCTAATTTATTAATTTTTTCTTTTTTTTTTTTTCTTTTTTTTGAGACAGAGTCTCACGTTGTTGCTCTTGGTAGTATGCCATGGCATCACAGCTCACAGCAACCTCAGACTCTTGGACTCAAGCCATCCTCTTGCCTTAGCCTCTCAAGTAGTTAGGACTACAGATGCTCGCCACCATACTTGGTACCCAGCTATTTTTTTGGTTTTTTTAGAGGTAGGGTCTTGCTTTTTTTCAGGCTGGTCTTGAACTTAATTTTTTTCTTTTACATAGTGCATACATTTTATGTCTAAGAAATCTTTGTTTATCCCGAAGCCCATGAAGATGTTTCTCTTTTGTTTTCTTCTAGAAGTTTCATAGTTACAGCTTTTACTTTATAGCCTGTTTTGTGTTAATGTCGTGTCTGGTACAGACTGAACTTCCCTGTGGTGTGTCTTCCTGATTGCTGGCCCCAGTTGAGCACTGGTTGGTTCAGCACTTGAATTTCTCAGCAGATTGACCCCTGACCCCACTTAGTGCTCCACACATGAACTTGAAGGCAAAGATTTTGCTGGCCTCACAAGAGTGTGCCCTCTCACTCTGTTAGGACAAACTTGAATTTGGTTGGAATGATTATTATCTTTGAATGTGAGTGGGGACCCTCCACCACCAGTGAGGCAAACTTGACCCCAGAGTCTTTGTCTGGAGGAAACACCCTTGAAGATTGGGGATCCTTGTGACCTCTGGAGAGTATGGAGGGAAGCGCTACCCTGCAGGGAGGGCTGTAGGGCACACCTTGTCAGAGGTGACCCAGAGTAGTTTGGAGAACTGCTCTGTGAGATTACCCCCCCCCCCCAAAAGGGCAGGCATGGCAGGTAGAGCTGGCTGTGCACTGACCGCCCTTGCTCTGTGGCCTGCCTAGCTGGATCTACCTTGGTGGCAGCAAGGCTGATGTCTCCAGGCTCCTGTGAAGCTGCATTTGCCGTCCCCTTGCCCCCAGACCTGGGGGGTGGGGTGAGCTTGGCTGGATCCCTAGAGACGCACCTTCTGGTTTCATTGTTGTGGAAGGGCAGCTGGGCAAAGCCTTTTAGGTTAGCTGTCCCCATATTCTGGGAAGGGGTGGATCAAATCACTGAATTTCTGCTTCCTAAAGGATGACAGCAGCTCTGCCTGGGAGAAGGACTGTCCCTGCCACGCTGGACTCAGATGCTCCCTCCTCATGAATGCACATGCTGTCTCTCCCTGACTCCCCTTGCTGTGGAGTCCCTCTTTTCCCTACACAGCCCCCCAGCTGCTGTTCTGAAGAGAGACTGACATGCATCTGAGGGCGCTTTGCATGTCCCCTGTGTGGGCTTTTGTGGCGAGCAGGGCCCTGCAGCTGTGTGTGTGTGTGTGTGTGTGTGTGTGTCCTGCAGACACTGCGTGTAAGGGCCACCGTCTGGTTAGCTGAATGAATGGCCTCAAAACCACCATAAGACAACCAAGAACTCTGTGCCAGAAGGGGCCCCCTCCAAAGCAGGGGGCAACAGGATGTTGTCTTCCATTTGGGAGCCTGAAGGCTGGTCATCTGTAGAGTGTCTCTGGAGTTGGGGAGACCTGGGGGGGAGCCCTGGTCTCCTGGGGGGAAGGACAGCAGATCCTTCTTGCTGCTGTAATGCCTGAGGAACAAGCCGGTGTCTCAGACCTTACAGCAGTAACTGTTTTACACTCACCTCTGCAGGTGGGCTGTGGTTTGGCTGGGCCTGCTGGGTCAGGCTAGATGGGATTTGAGTCAAGTTCAAGGTCTTCATTCCAGGGTCCAGGTGGAAGTGGGAGCAGTACTTGGTTTCTCTCTTCTGACAGTCACAGGAGACACGGGCCAAGTCAGCCCCACACACGTCTTGACAGTGGTTTCACATCATGTCCTCTGGTCGGCTCCAGTAGCCACACAAGGTTCCCTGCTAAGTCCAGCCCCACCCTGGTGTTGTTAGGTGGGAGTTTAGTCTCCGTGCCAAAGCCCCAGGGCAGCTTACCCCACAGCTGTGGGACCAGATGCCTTTCCCCAGTGTCCCTGGGGAATCCTGGACGGTCTGAGAGTTTCTGTCATCTGCGTGCAGTGTGTAAAACGCCTGCACACAGCAAGTTCTTCCATCTTGGTGTGACTCAAAGGAGCAAAAACCCACCTGATATTCTAGCTAGCTTGACTCTCTGTAGAAGAAAGTCATATTGCCAAAAGGAGCCACAGATCTTACAAAGTTGTTTAAAAAGCAGTGTCAGAAAAATGTCCTAGTGTGCCCTTTTCCTGATTTTATTGATATTTGCCTGAATTCTGTCTTTGTTTCAGGGAAATAGTGGAACACATGGTCCAGCACTTTAAAACACAGATCTTTGGGGATCGGAAACCAGTGTTTGATGGAAGAAAGAATCTTTACACAGCCATGCCCCTTCCAATTGGGAGGGATAAGGTAAGCCAACAGAGGTGACAAGTGGCAGGTGACATCTGGTGAATGAAATTCAAATATGCTGTAAAGTCACGTGCTTCACCCTGAGACCCATAAATACCAGACTGCTTTCTGTGTGTTGTGGTTTCCCATGACAGAGGTCCATTGGACTAGGTCCTGGCACAGATGCTGAGAACTTCCTGAAACCACCAAACTGGTGGTTTATGGAAGTCATGGGTCATCACCAGACAAGAGCCTGGGTGCAGCGTGGTACTCTAGAGACCTGTGGAAGGGGTGTGATCATCATCTGCCAGAGTCCCTACCTGAGCCCAGGGCAAGTTAACATCCTGCTGCAGCTAGTGATTCATCTGGAATCAGGATGGTAGCAATTAGTGAACCGGGGAGTGGTGGTTACATTAAAATGTTCCCTTTTCTTGTTACCATTATCCTTATCGTCGTTTTATTTAACAAGTAATAAAATTTGGGTGGCGCCTGTGGCTCAGTGGGTAGGATGCCAGCCCATATACTGAGGCCCCAGCCAAACTGCAACAAAAACATAGCCAGGCATTGTGGCAGGCACCTGTAGTCCTAGCTACTTGGGAGGCTGAGGCAAGAGAATCACCTAGGCCCAGGAGTTGGAGGTTGCTGTGAGCTGTGACGGCACAGCACTCTGTCAAGGGCGACAAAGTGAGACTATCTCTACAAAAAAATAAAAAATAAAACAAAATTTCAGCTTAGAAGTTTCTTCCTCTTGGCACCATCTCTCAGCAAATGTGCCACAGGGCGGGAACAGCTGTGGTGTATTCCTGGGAGAGCAGAGACCTGGCTCAGGCATTACCCTACAGAGCAGCCTGCGATGTCACACTTGTGAGAATGCAAACACCATCTCCTTGGGAGTGACCTACGCCATTCACTTCCCAAACTCCCAGGCCCCTGGAGGAGGCCCTAGCTCAGGGCACCAAGGGTCTCAAACTGTTACCAGGGACACAGGTTTGGGGGACTGGGGAAGGGGCCCTGCAGGCTCTCTATAGACATCAAAATAGTTTTCCTTTTGCATTTTAATGATAGTCTAAAATGTATATGGTGCCTTTCAGCCTTTCTGGGTGGCCTCAGGGCCCCTCTGCTCTCAGGTTAGGTGCTCTGATGGGAGGAACCAATGCCATGAGGAGGGATGCAGCCATGAGAGTGGGCTCTGTCCCAAGCAATCTCTAGGGTTGTCACTGCCAGCCTGGCTGACAGCTGTGATGGTCCCAGTGGGAGGAACCCCGGGACCTGTGCATGGAGGCTGAGCAGGGTTACCCCCTGCCCGTTAACATGCTGTAAATTTGAAGTTTATAGATTTTAGCATTTTGTATTGAATTTATATCTTTGTTTTTGCTTAAAGGGATATAAGAGAAAAAGCATAAAGTGTTTATCCACAGTCTTGTTTGTGCTTATTTTTTAGGAGGGCATAGGGATAGTTTTCTTGAGGGGGCAGGGAAGCCTGTGGTCATGTCTGAGACATGTAGCTGGAGATGTGAGCAGTGCAGAGGCTCTGGGGCAAGCCTGGCTGGGCTGCATGCTCGCTTTGCCCTCACTGGAGCAGGCAGTGGTGCACCTCCTCCCCCTGCTGGGCCCTGGGGGAGACCCTCTCCACTGCCCCACACCCCTGACCTGCTGCCAGCCCACACCGCTGCTGCTGGTCCACACTAAGTGGTAAGGGGTAGAACGCATCGTCATGGTGCCTGGGACATGCTGGGCCCTCAACGGATGCTGGAGGTGGCAGGTGCTTGTCTGGTAGCTTAGCCTAGCAGAGCATTTTCTGGGGTACCCAGGTGCCCACAGGAGCCCGTGAAACACAGCCCCACATCACGTGGCACTCGGTGCCTCTCAAGTTTAATCCCAGCCATCCTTTCTTCAGATAAAAGACCTGAGCCATGGAGATTTAAAGAACCAGCACATTCCTCCAGTTCGCACAGTCCCCAGATGCCTGTGCTGCAGACATGTGCCTGGCTGTCTGAGAGCTAGATGGAGCAGCGTCCCCATCCCTGCCCATACTGTCACACAACACAGCAAAGTGTCGTCTCTGGGGTTCCTTACATTTGCTCTTTTTCCTTGAGCATCACCTGTGACAGGCGTGGAACCATCAGGCACTCCATTGCCCCAGAGTCTGTGGCATGATGGGGACAGTGAGGTCCTTGCACACAGGGCCTGTATCATGTCGCCCTCACTCAGCAAGGTCCCTCTTTAAGGCCCTCCCTAATCTCTCCCACATAAACATTAGCCTTCCTGCCTTGTTCCTACCCCTGCGCAACCAGAGAGACCCTGTGAGCGCCAGGCCCCTCCCTCACGTTTCAGCGCAGGAGGCTGAGGCCCAGGAAGCCATCCGAGTTGATGCACATTTTACGTTCAACTCCCAGGTCCTTTTTGGCAGCGAAGAGGTATAATCTCTGTTGTCTGTTGTCCCTGGCTCTGTGTCCAGCCCTGTGTCTCCTGCATGGGCCACCTGTGGAGGACCTGTGCTGCTTGTTCAGAGAGGGCACAAGTGTTGCCTTCCTGGGGGAAGTCAGGACAGACGCACAGCTCAGACAGATACGTGTCCTGCAGGGAGCAGCTTGCCGTGGAGCACGATAGCCACACGTGAACTCCCTGCCAAAGGGGACAGTTTGCCCAGTGTTCCTGCCTATTCACTTCTGCGCTGGCTTGGCCATGCTGTGGCCCTAGTTGTACCCAGCTGGTACCTGCTCACCTGGTGGGGGCGGGAGGGGGGCATGGGAGGGCAGGAGGAGGCAGAGGAGAGTCCTGGGAGGCTTTGGGTGCACACAGGGGAGGGTCTCCTCAGCCTTAGGGCGACCTGATGCCCCTTGGGGCTCAGGGTCCCTCAGGTAGAGCCACAGCATTTGTCCAGGTGCCTTCCCTGAGTGCCCAGTGTGGGGTGCTCAGGATGTGCCTGGCTGTGCCATATTGCCCACCAGCTTGCCTTCCAGTTCCCTGTACTCTACCACGTGCTGGGTGAGATTGGTCTTCACGCCAATATGTTTCGGGAGGCACTGATCTTTCCCAGGAGTTCTCACTGTGCAAAGTGACAAAATGCCTGTAGATATCAGCTCCCTGGCATGTTTAAACAGACGTGACCTGCATGTCCCCTTCTGGGAAGGGCCTATGGCACAGAGCCTGACAGCTGTCACCCTGGCCAGGGTTCTAGCAGGCGCAGTAGGTGTGACCACTTTTCCCAAAACCCTGGGGAGGGCCACAGCCATGTCCTGGTCCTTGTAGCCAACCCACATGCCTGCCAGTGCCACTCCCGACTTAGTGGAGGGCAGGGAGGCCAGGCCTTTGCTGGTGCCGCAGCCAGTTTAGGGCAAGAAAATCCTTTTGAAACACAGCTGCTGCTTTGAGCTCTCTCTGGGTTTCTGCAGTTTCTTTGTGTTCTTTAAAGTGCTGTTTGCCCTTGCTTTGTTTCTGAGTTGTGTAGTGGTACCAAAACAGAAATCTTCCTATTAATGCTCCAAATTCTTTCATCCTGATTTTCAAACAGGAATTTTGGCCACAGGCACATGGAATCTCTAGAAAGATCAGATTTCACAACTGCCTCGCTATTGTCTAGGCTCTGGGCTGGTGCCATGGGCTGACGTTTTCCATTGTCCAAGTTCAGCGAATGGCAGTTGTAGCATCTCCAGAACCCAAAGTGCTGGTGTCCACAGCTGATGCATGAGTTCCGTGAGGTCGGCAGAGCTGCCTGCCTGTCCCCTCATATACAGGAAGGGCCTAATGGAGCCACCTGAGCTGGGGGTCGGGCCCTCTTCTTCCTGTTCTCATCTGTGACCTCTGGCTGTTGTGTCTTGGGGATGTGGAGCAACTGCTGGCCAGCAGCATGGTTGCACGTAGTGGGACAGAGGGGCTGCTTGTCAGAGAGGCCTGTGCCACTCTGCCCTCATCCCTGAACTGTGCCCACTTCAGCCAGCTGCCACATATAGCACGATTGGCTAAGAGTGTCATAGTGCTGTCCTCTGGGGGCGGAGAGGAGGCTGGACTACAATATATTTTTAAATTGCATATGTTTTGCTGTAGAAAAATAGACCCCTTGGAATTCCCCCTCAGTTTTGATTATAGAAGTGTTTTGAAAGATGGCACAAATAAGCATCTAGTTAGCGCCAATTCAGGTGTCACTGTTCAGATCCGTCAAGTGCTCTTTGATGGAGATGTGGACAACAGGCTTCAAGTACCTGCCAGTGAGGTGAATGTGTAATTTAGAAATTAGCACACTGAGCTCGGCGCCTGTGGCTCAAGTGGCTAAGGTGCCAGCCACATACACCTAAGGTGGCAGGTTTGAATCCAGCCCGGGCCCGCCAAACAACAATGACAGCTGTAACCAAAAAATAGCCGGGCGTTGTGGTGGGCACCTGTGGTCCCAGCTACTTTGAGAGGCTGAGACAGGAGACTTGCTTGAGCCCAGGAGTTGGAGGTTGCTGTGAGCTGTGATGCCATGGCACTCTACCCAGGGGGACAGCTTGAGGCTCTGTCTCAAAAAAACAAAAAGGAAGTTAGCACACTGGTTCCCATTCACACGCTCATTCCCACCTGTGTGCAGCAACTCTGGGGCACCATTCTGGGTAAGTGGATCAGTCTTACTCTCATCGCAGCCAGGTCCCTGCCAGTCCAAACTGGAGTCACCCCTCGTGTCCAGTTGAGCTGCTGGTCCTGGGCACATTGTGGCTTCATCTCCTTTTCTGAACTCAGACTAAGGTGGGGACTTGTTCCTTCTACTTTCTGCTGTGTGGTCCAGACTCTTTGGATCTCTTTCCATAACTGGAAGTAAGGCTAATAGGTTATCAGTCTGATGAAACAACGTCTGTCACTTTGTTAGCTCTCTTGTCAAATATTTGCTTTTAGTTATTGTTAGTTTTGGGTGGGGATGGCAGAATAAGACTCCAGAGGCTGGAGCGCAATGGTGTGATCACAGCTCCCTGCATCCCCAAACCCCTGGGCTCCAGGGGGCCTCCTGCCTCAGCCTCTGAAGGACCGGGAAGAACAGATGTGTGCCACCATGTCTAGCTCAGCTAGGACTTTTTCTCCTATTTTTGGAAGAAATAGGGGTCTCAAAATGTTGCCTAGACTAGTCACAAACTCCTGACCTCAGTGATCCTGCCTTAGTCTCTAAAACTGCTGAGATTATAGGGTTGAGCCAATGCCTCAGCCTTTTATTACTTTTATATGACATATTTACAATTTTATTAGGAAATATAGTGGAAAAACTCCCATGCGGCTGACCCTTGATCCAGTGCAGAGCTGGGCCCTGACCTGCACAGCTGTTGTCCGTGTGGAGTGTTTGACTCCCCAAGAGCTTCACTACGAGTAGCTACTGCTGGCGGAAGCCTTGCTGCCACACAGCTGGCAGGCACAAGTCCGGGGGGGGCCTGGGGGTTACACACGTGGTGCCCCGTGTTCTTAAAACTAGCGTTAAGGAAATGTTTCTAAGAAGAACGTAAGGGTGAGAAGATGTTTTCTGTTCACTAAGAGAAAGTGGGTCTTCATAAAGGTTCTCCTTATAGGCATCACACTGAGGAAGAGGACTTAGCCTTCCTTAGGACGCAGCAGTGGGAAACAGCTGAGCTGGTGCCCTTGACTGGGTCCAGCTCTACATACACTAAAGAGCAGTAATGAAGTGTATCCCACACCTGCACTGCCCAGGACTCCCTCCTCGCGGCCACCGCCCTGCTGACAGGGTCAGGCTGGTGCTGGCCATCGCTATGCCCACTGGTGCTTATTACCTCTGGCCTCCGAGTCTGCAGTGGACCGTTTTGTGCCACACTCCCTGCCTCGCTGCGTTGACTTGGTATGAGATATTTGCAGCCACCCATCTTGAAGGATCTGTTCCTTTTTCACTGCTCTTGTCTTTTTCCTGGGGCCCTCACCAGTTTGGGACTTTTGGGCGCTCTGCTGCTGCCACGTGGGGGGCATTGCTAGAGCAAGCCTGGGTCAGGCAGAAGGATGCATCTGCCTTGACACATGGGCAGGTGACAAGGGTGTGTGGCCTGGGCGTCACTCTTGTGAGGTTCAGTAAGGTGTGGCAGGTAGGCTAGTCTTTGCAAGGCCTTGGTTATGAGGATGAGCAGGTGGACGCAGAGGTGGCAGGTGGGTGAGGCAGGCAACACTTATCCTGGGCACACAGACTGAGTCAGGGAGAGCGTTTCAGGCACACAGCGCAGGCTGGGCCTCTGGGCGCCCCTGCTGCGTGTTGCTGAGGGCCATAGCCCCGGCCACCACACACCGAGTGAAGTGCCTTTCACATCACACTAGCCGGGTCCAAATCCCAGGCCTGCCCTTTTATGGCTCTCTGGCCAAGTGCTTTTTTTAAAAATCCAAGTTTCTGTGTTTTTATGTATAAAAAAGGGCAAATTTTCTCTTGCTGGAGTTTTTGAGCATATAAAGACAAAGTATATATCATTAGTAAGCTGTCAAATAGGTGTTCAGTGAACACTGGGAAGTTGTGGCTCAATGGGGCTGGTCAGCCACCTGCTCAGGATATGTTGAGGGCAGGCAGCAGTGACCGTGCAGCCCTGGTATAAGGGGAGGGCACTGCTTCAGGTGGGCTGCTATCAAGGGAGGGGGTGGCAGAGAGTCCATGGAGGAAAGAGGACGTGGGCTCACTGCTTAGGCTTGAATCAAGAGGGCACATATCAGACCACTCTCCAGTACACTGATCACTGGCCACACATGGCTGTGGAAGTTTAAATTCATTCGAGTAAAGTTAGAAATTTCAGAAGATCAGTCACACACATGTGCTCAGGAGCACTGTGTAGCCAGTGGATGGTTAAAGGACTGGACAGAAGCCCTAACCTGTGTTCTTGGACACGAAGCACCACCGGGCCCCACATACAGCTGCATGAAGTGAATAACTTCTGTGCTTGGATCTCCTTTGCAGGTGGAGCTGGAGGTCACGCTGCCAGGAGAAGGCAAAGATCGCATCTTCAAGGTGTCCATCAAGTGGGTGTCCTGCGTGAGCTTACAGGCGTTACATGATGCACTTTCTGGGCGGCTGCCCAGCGTCCCCTTTGAGACGATCCAGGCTCTGGATGTGGTCATGAGGCATTTGCCGTCCATGAGGTGAGGGGGCCAAAGGGCCAGGAGCATCACTTCGAGCCCTGAGTATTCAGGAAGAGATGATTCTCAGAGTCAGGGTAGTGATGGTCACACGGGTTTTCTGCCATGGAGATAATTGGTGCTGCGATGGAAAGGAATTCTAAAATAAAAATAAATCATTAGTAGCCAGACGTGGCGGGCACCTGTAGTCCCAGCTACTTGGGAGGCTGAGGCAAGAGAATCACTTAAGCCCAAGAGTTGGAGGTTGCTATGAGCTGGGATGCCACAGCACTCTACCCAGGGTGATGTAGTGAGACTGTCTCAAAAAATAAATAAGTAAATCACCAGCACTCTTAGCCTGGCACAAAGAGGGCAGCTGTCTGTCTGTGCAGACTGGCGCGTCCAATTCTTTACTCAGCCCTGTGCCAGCAGTGCTGTTCCTTCTCTCTGTGGCCTTTGTGTTCAGGACTGGGAGACCAGGGGGCACAGTGTGTGCCCCACTGGAGGGCCGTAGCCACCAGCTTGGTGGGTTGTTAACACCATAGATACTTCAGACACTTTTTTTATTCTATGGGATTACTGCTCTTTTACCATAAATTGTCACACATGAATTGTTAGGGGAGAGGTGAGGGGAGCATTTTGATGGCTTAGAACCTGCCTAGTTGTTTTGCAAAAGGTTGCACTAGTTTCCTGTGAGACCTGAGGTCATAGGAACAAGGCGAGCTCTCGCACTGGGCTGCAGGCTCCTGCAGGAGCGCCTGTCCTCAGCTGCACCTGGGACCTCAGGAGCGATTTGAATGTACAGGTAAAAGCACAAAAGCCTAAATCTGACACACGTGTGTGCACTGACAGACCTCCAGGACTGACTGGACTTCAGTGTTGGGGAGAAAGTCAAGGCTTCTTTCTAACACAGAGCAGGGGCTTCAGAGGGGACCACGCATCCTGCCTTCAGGCGTGGGTGGAAGTGACCCAGTACTGGACAGGTGGTCCCTCCTCACAGGAGCACCCCAGCCCAGTGTGATCGGTGGCTGCTTTGAACTGTTGGTGGCAGGCCGGCCAGTGGATGCTGTGGCAGGCAGTCTAGAAGGGCGGTTGGTAAAATGTCCACTTCTTAAATCAGGTGCCAGGAATTACTGTGGCTTCTCTTTTCTGAATTATTTTGGATTATTTACATTGATTTTAGAATCAGAAAACTGCTGTTTTCATTTTAGAAAACACTAGAAATAATCAGGATGAATCCATTTCAGGTGGAAAGTAACAATGCTGTCATGTAGGTGATTTTGTTAACAGTGCAGCCCACACCTGGAAGGCATTGCCAGTGAAGGGGACACGTTCCATTGAGAACCATTGTTGATGGCACATGATTCGACCAGGCCCTGTGTGCTGGTACAGCAGGCACGCTTGTGCTGAATAGCGTGTCCGCCTCGGTCAGGCAGGCTCCAACCTAGGTCGCCGCTCCATCTGTACCTGGCCTTGCAGCAATGCCTGAATCTCCTCCCCCTGGTCCCACTGTCCCCTGTGTGTGAGCCCTCAGTGTCTAGTGCAGAGGAGACAGCCCATAACAAGAGCTGCTGCAAACAGGGAAGAAATGCTGCTTTCCCCCAGCCACCCACCCGAAGCGGCAAATCTCCCCAAGGCTTGTGGCTGGGCCTAACAGTGGCTGGCGTGGACTGTGAGGTGGGTGTGAGCAGTAAGGACGTTGAGGCCAGGAGAGGGTGGGGTGGAAACACAGAACCCTGCCGGTGCCCCACATGTGCCTTGGCCGAGCTGCAGCCGCAGCTGTCCCCTTCTGGGCTCTTGTCTCCTCAGGGGCCACACCAAGAAGACACTACCAAGCAGGAGCCACGTGTCCCAGAGCTAGAAACACAGCAGGCTCAGGGGCTGGCCCTCTACCCGGCGTGGGGCACTCAGACTCTCACTGCCTGTGTGGGGAGGCCATGGGTCCCCAAGGCTGTGCTCACAGCATCTCTCAGCAGGGCCTAGAAGCCATGTAGTGAAGCAGTTTTATACCAAGGGATGAGCAGCCTTCATGGTGTGTGCGTGTGCTGCAAGATTGGTGGGGTGGGAGCAAATTTGGGGTGACCTGTTCCTTCCTGAAATCTTACCTAACGGACGCTGGTCTCCTGGCCTCAGGTACACACCTGTGGGCCGCTCCTTCTTCACCGCCTCTGAGGGCTGCTCCAATCCCCTTGGTGGAGGCCGAGAAGTATGGTTCGGGTTCCATCAGTCCGTCCGACCTTCTCTTTGGAAAATGATGCTGAACATTGATGGTAAGTGACACACTGAGGTGGAATTGGGGAATTGCTGAATTCCAAGATCTTGAGGAGTACACATGGCCAGCTCCAAACCCAGCCCCGGTGAGGCTGTGTGTGGCACGCAGCTGGTCCCACCTGCATGCTGTCTAGGAGCTCAGGGCAGTGCTCCCCAGAGGAACACTGGATCCACCTGGAACACTTGCCCCAGCGTCCTGGCCTGCGGGCTTTGAGGGCAGGGAGCTGGGGATCATTCTCTGTACAGATTTGCGCTGCTGTTCGTGTCCCCAGCACAGGGTCTGGCGGCCGCCCCCAGGCGTTCTTCCCCTTTATCGCACAGGCTCAGATTTAGCTTCTGAGAATTGGGTGCCTGGCTGCCATCCCCAGCTCTCCCTCTCCCGGGAGTCTCAGCGCTTCACTTTGTTGGACCCCACTTCCTTCTTTGTAAAAAAGACAAGCATGAGGGTAGGAGAAGGATGCTGCCTTCTCAGTTGGGAATTAATACAAAAAGCTCTAGAAAAGAAAGAAAATTATATCTTGCTCAGCTATACATTTATTGAAAAGTAATTATATAAGTGAGAATGATAAATTTCAGAAATATCTACACTACAAAGTAGAAAAATCCTGTGAAATCCAACATTCATAAACTTAAGTTTTGTTTGTTTTAAAAAACTAGTTTTTCTCAGAGGGTGACTTAATCTTTAGCCCCCATTTGCATGGCACCTAACCAGAGCACGTGTCTGGCATCTGGAGAAAGAGAACCAAGGCCAGTTGTCCTCCCTGGGCTGCCTGGGGCCTGACAGGGCCAGCCCAGGTGGCATAGCCCTCCGGCACTGGTGGGTGGTCCCTCTGCCTGAGGCACCATCCAGCACACACGTGATCCTGCCATGGTGCTTGTTGTTTCTTATCTTGCCTACAGTGTCGGCAACTGCATTTTATAAGGCACAGCCAGTTATCGAGTTTGTTTGTGAAGTTTTGGATTTTAAAAGTATTGAAGAACAACAAAAACCTCTGACAGATTCCCAAAGGGTAAAGTTTACCAAAGAAATTAAAGGTAATGAACTTCTCAGGGCACTGGGGAAGGGGGCTGGGTATGGTTCTGGTCCCTATGTGAGTGTAGGGAGGTAGAGGTGGTGGTGGCGGGTGAGGCACCCAGATGAATTTGCACAGAGACAAATCCAGCCCATCCCAGAGTAGCAGAGATAGAATGACAATAAACACAGCTTCTGTGTTTGTGAGGAGCAGGTGGGTGAGTCAGGAGCTGGAGTTGTGATGTTAGGACGGGAAGTCCCCTTTCAGAGCCAGGGCTGCATTTCATCATGTTCTAGACTGTGAGGTGCATTTCATTCTTGCTCACTCGACCTTCCTACAGTCGGAGCTGGTGTCTGTACCCTTCAGCCTGGTTCCACTCCAGGAAATGCAGATCAAGACTTATTTTGGGCCCCTCTGCCTAGCAGCAACTGAATGGCCATGCCCTCTGCACCTGTGCTTTTTGAAGGCCATGGGCAGTGTTGGTTATAGTGATGAGCCTGTGGGAGTGTGGAATGCTGAGAAGGTAGACACCTATGCTCTAAGCTGGGCCCTGCATGGCTTCCTATTTGTATGCACACCCTATCCTGACTCTTTGGCTTTGGCCAAAGGTCTGAGTTTCAGCTGAGTTTCTCCTATAGGGGTTTTCACCTATAGGGAAAAGAGGCATCCCTGTAGGTGAAATGGGTCTGGCCAGGGTGTCAGTGGGGCCCATGTGTCCACCTTTCTCTTCCTCAGAGCCCTGCAGCAACTCCAGGGTCCAAGTGATTTGGATCTATGTCCACAGCTTGGGAAAGTGAAGCTCCCTCTTCAGACTTGGTTAACCTAGACTCTAAAGCCCACCATTCTCTGTCACCAGGTCTAAAGGTGGAGATAACGCACTGTGGGCAGATGAAGAGGAAGTACCGAGTCTGCAACGTGACCCGGCGGCCTGCCAGCCACCAAACGTAAACCGGCTTGCTTATATTCCCCTCGGCTCAGGCCCTCAGTGCCATTCAGATTTCCAGATCCTGGAGCCACGATTCTTGTGGGAAGATTACCACATTCTCTTTTTAAATGCCAAAGCTATGCCTTGGGTGGCTCCATAGATTCCAAACCTCACCTAATAAAATAAACGCAAATAACGAGATGGCTGCCTGTGTGTCAGGCGGGGAGGATGGGGTTCTTGCCATGTCTCCTTTCTGAACTTCACAGACAGAGAAGGGTCTTTCATGTGTGTTGTCCCCTGGGTGCTTGGGCGGGGGGTGTGTGAGGTGAGCTGAGCATGGTAGGGCCACTGCCCTCACCCCAGCTAGTCCACTGGGGGCCCTGCCTTCTGTAGTCTAGAGTCCAAGTACGTGTCATAACCTTGGCCCCAGGAACGTGCTGTCTTACATATGTGTTTACTGTGGAAGATGTGATGGAGTTGGTCCTTGTCCCCAATGAGGACTCGTCTGTTTCATGAGTCATCCCATGGAAAATGCCTGGCCTGTTGCTGGGCATGGGGTTACCGAGGTGCCTGGGGCCTTGGGAGCAGAGGTGACTGCCAAGCAGTCTGGACAGAGCAGAGGAGTCGGTCAAGGGAAGCCAGGCCCTGCCCAGCCAGAGGCTGGGGGCATGTGAGCAGACCAGGATGCTCCTTTCTTCCTCCTGTCCTGGGAGTTCCTGTCCTGGGAGTTTCTGTCCTGCTGGGCACTTTGACCCCATCAGGTCACTAGCCTGCTGTCAGACACACAGGCCTGCCTTTCCGGGTTTGTCTTTGTTTGTCTGGAGTCCTTCATGCGCACTGTAGATGCTGTGGGCAATTCGTGATTATTGTGTATTATACTGTATGCATGTAGGTATTTTTTATTTCCCACTTCCAGAGACAAAACAAGAATTTAGGGTCTCAGGAATATTCCAGATACAAAAGACATTTGGCTTTTGTTCCCAGGAAGGGCTTTGCATGTGTGCTCCCCATGCATCCCTCTGAAGATGCCACCACATGTGGAAACAGCCCTGGGTGAAGTGTGCATGTGCTGTTGGTCTGTCCCCATGGGGTCCTGGCGAGCCCTTGGCCTGAGCTGCCTCTACTCCCCAGGTTCCCGCTGCAGCAGGAGAGTGGGCAGACAGTGGAGTGCACGGTGGCCCAGTACTTCAAGGACAGGCACAAGCTGGTTCTGCGCTACCCCCACCTTCCATGTTTACAAGTCGGACAGGAGCAGAAACACACCTACCTTCCCTTGGAGGCACGTAGCCCTCTTCCCTGGGGTCTGCAAGGCTGGGAGGATGGGGCGAGGGGCCAAGCAGCCAGGAGCAGGGCCAAGCCCCAGTTTGGCACAGTTGCCATCATCTCCGTGGCTGTAGGATCTTAGGTGCATTAATGGGCTTTGTTGAATCTTAGTTTTGCCTTTAATAAAATGGGATTTGTAGCTCCCAGGTAACGTTAGTGTGAGCATGGATTGAGAGTGTGTGTGACACGCCCAGAAGATCCCTGGTATGAGGAAATCAGTAGTACACTGTTTCTTTGTTTGCTTTTTGTCTAATTTTTAAGACTGTTTGAAAAATCCCGTTGGGAAACAATGGGACACTGAAATCAGGCAATGCATTTCCATTCATCTCCTTTGGTATTTTACATTCGCAGATCTTTTGTGGTCATGTAGGGCCTGTGTTTTCAGGGCCAAGTCCAGCAGGGTGGTGGCTTTGCACCTGCAGCCATTTCTGTGCTCACCTGTTTGGCCCTCACATCCACTGAGGACTAGAGGGAATCCAGAACTCTGCTGTCGGGACTGCCCTGCCTACCTGGCTGTCTGAGTATGGAGCATTACATCGGGGTCACTCAGGGAAGATTTCTGTTGATACCAGGAGGGAGTAGAGCAACCCTCAGACGAGGAAGAGACAGCCCCAGACAGTGCCAGGGCACCAGCCCTCTTCCTCTGCTCAGGCCTCCAAAACAAGTGCCTCTGCATCTATCCACAGGTCTGTAACATAGTGGCAGGACAGAGGTGTATTAAAAAACTGACAGACAATCAGACTTCAACCATGATCAGAGCGACTGCTAGGTCAGCACCCGATCGGCAAGAAGAGATTAGCAAATTGGTGAGTTTGGGACACCCACAGCTCAGGCACCCAGGCTCTGGGCAGACGTGGCCACTAGAAGGAAGGAAGACCCTGTCTGATGCTGGGCTGCTTCTCCCCCTTTTCCAGATGCGAAGTGCGAGTTTTAACACAGACCCATACGTTCGTGAGTTTGGAATCATGGTCAAAGATGAAATGACGGATGTGACTGGACGGGTGCTGCAGCCGCCCTCCATCCTCTATGGGGGCAGGGTATGTGTGGCTGAGGGTGGGTTTTCGGGCGTGTGCGTGTGTCTCCCACAGTCCGTGTCGGGTCCTGAGCCATCCCCCATAGCGCAGGCCCTGTTCGGAGTATAGGCACTCTTTCTTTTTTTTTTTTTGAGACAGAGCCTCAAGCTGTCCCCCTGGGCAGAGTGCCATGGCATCACGCTCACAGCAACCTCCAACTCCTGGGCTCCAGTGAGTCTCCTGCCTCCGCCTCCCAAGTAGCTGGGACCACAGGCGCCCGCCACAACGCCCGGCTATTTTTTTTTGGTCGCAGCCGTCATTGTTGTTTGGGGGGTCCGGGCTGGGGATTCAAACCCGCCACCTTAGGTGTACGTGGCTGGCGCCTTAGCCGGTTGAGCTATAGGCGCCGAGCCTAGGCACTCTTTCTACTCTGGGCTATACCTTGGCCTTCATGGAGAATGGCTTTAAAGTTTTTCAGAATTATCCTTAATGTTTTCAAAAAGTAATTTTTTTTTTTTTTTTTGAGACAGAGTCTCACTTTGTAATCCTCAGTAGAGTGTTATAGTGTCACAGCTCACAGCAACCTTAAACTCTTGGGCTTAAGCGATTCTCTTGCCTCAGCCTCCCAAGTAGCTGGGACTACAGGCGTCCGTCACAACACCCTTTGTTGTAGTTGTCATTGTTGTTTAGCAAGCCCAGGTGAGGTTGGAACTCGCTAGCCCCGGTCTATTTGGCCGGTCCCCTTAACCAGAGTTACGGGCACTGAGCCTCAAAAGGTAAATTTTATTATCCCTTCAAAAAGCACCCTTCTTTGTGTGATGAGCACTCTGCCGGTGTTGAATCTCATCCCAGAAGCCTGTACTATTTTTCTGTTAACATTTGCTTTGGGGGCATCTGGTAGCAAACATAGCAGTTAGGGTTTTTTGGTTTTTGCCAGCTTTACCTCTAGCTTTCATTGGCGGGTAACCAAAGGTGTCCAAACCACTAAGCCCAGTGGTGTTTGAGAAGTGTTCCCTCTCACTGCCTCCTGGGCAGGCCCACGGCCTCAGAGCTCAGCACTCAGCACACCTGGCAGGTGGGCAAGGGCTGGGTGACTGTGGCAGGGGACACCAGAGCTCTGTGGAGCCTTGGCCTGAGAGGTCACCAGCTCTGATTCACCGGACTGCACACCCTTCCTACCTAATGACACTTTCATCCAGTTCTTGAGACTATGGCAAAGTTTTATTCTGTTGTAGTTTTCTCACCCTTTTCTTATTTTAAAATACAAGAGTTTTTTTTTTGTTTGTTTGTTTCAAAATATATAAAAGAACTGTAGAAAAAAGTCTCTTTTCCTCAGCCTTTACTTGGCATCTGAAGAAGCAGTGGGTATTACCTTTCTCCTTGGTAAACTCACTCCTGAATTATCAACATATTGTTCAAACAGTAGTCTGGTAGATGTGCTTCTGGCCTTTTGGAGCTCACTGAGCATGTGCTCTCCTCCATACTGCTGTCACACACACTCCTGCTGTCGCTGGGCAGGAGGTGGCTGCCCATGTTCCTGCAGAAGGGTTCTGAGCAAGGCCCTTTGGCCCCTCCTCAGCTTGCATGTCCACCCCTTGGGCCCCAGACACTATAAACTCTGCACCAGCTCCTTGCAACCCCAAGGGAAGAGTGTGGTCCCCCACTCTTAAGTAAGCAGGGACGGGCCATGTGGCGAGAGGTAGGGCTTTGAATGCAGCCCTCAGTTATGGCCCTCTCTGTTTGTCCCCCCACTTTCTCTCTCTTAGCCAAGGCACAGCCATCTAAAAAATAACATTGCTCATGTCCTCTACTTTTGGAAAACCCTTAGAATTGTATGGATTAAGAGAGCTTGTGATGTTTCCAAAGGAATACATTTTTCCAGATCCCTGAAACGTTTTAGTGAGAAGAAATACTCTTCATCCTCTGCCCTAACAGTGGACTTAGAGCAATTAGAGCATTGTTAGAGAAAATGATTAAACATACCTCAGCAAGCAAGGTGTGAGCAGAGTCCTCAGCCAGAGGTGGTTTGCCCCATCGTCCCTCCCCCGCCCCTGGCCACATCTGGCCATCCCAGAGACATTTTTCATCACAGCCCTGGGTGAGTGGGACGGACAGAGAGCTCATGGTCCTCAGAGCTGCCCTGCAGCCAGACCCACCGCCCCGGTGTCAGCAGCACCAAGGTCTAGAAGTGCACTTAAAGGAAGACCCACCAGTTTCTGTTGAAATCGTGTCTCTGTGTGTGTCTACGTGTCTGTCTCCTGACTGGAGCCCGGAATGTCCATGGCATCATGCATGGAGGGTGGTGGGAGCAGACAGTGGCTATGAAAGCACAACAAACAAAAGCATTCATTTCTACATGCTGCCTGATTTTTATAAGCTTTTATTTCTTTTGTAAGAAAGATGTGCTTAAAAGAAAAACCTTTGTAGAGTAAGTGATAGTGACTTGGGCATGGCCGTGTCCTCAGCAGTGCCCACAGCCTGGAGTTGCAGCAGCCCTCTGGCCCTTCCCCTCCTGGGCCATTCAGACTTCCCTGGGGTGATGTAGTTGGGGGCTGGTCCCTTCTAGGCGAGAGGTGGCAAAAGCAGGCAGAGTCCTTTCCGGCAGGATGCCCTCCGTTTCTCATGCAGCTGCAGGCAAAGTAAACAGAGCTGTGGGCTTAGTCCCAACTGACCCCAGAGGCCACTGGATGAAAATGAGGGACAGAATTTTCTAGAACAGAAGGCCTTCTTGAAGCATCACCAGGTGCTTCTTGGTCTAGGCTGCTCAGGAGGTCAACTGGAGCTTGGGCCTCCCAGGCTTGCTGGCCTTGCCCCACCTGCCTGCCATCACCACCTGGCCAGCCTCCCTCGAGCTCTTGCCCACTCTCTGCCACCATGCACCACCCTCCCGCAGAGGTGCGTTGCAGGTCAGAGATGGGGACAACATGAAGGTGTCATTCTTGTTCTTAAGAAGGAGCTCAATTGGTCAGGGACTAACAGAGGGACCAAGTCCAAGTTGGGGAAATGTTTCCTATTTTTACTTACTCCGAACTTTTTGCCATTTGCAGAATAAAGCCATTGCCACTCCTGTCCAGGGCGTCTGGGACATGAGGAACAAGCAGTTCCACACAGGCATCGAGATCAAGGTGTGGGCCATTGCGTGCTTTGCCCCACAACGCCAGTGCACAGAAGTCCATCTGAAGTAAGTGCCCCTTTTGACCGGCTGCGGCACTGGCCTGGCCCCTGCAGGGGCACAGGTGACTGACCACTTGGAAGACTGGCCCTAGGGTGGGTGGGGCCCATCCTGAGCTTGTGTTCTGATGTCAGGTCCGTCAGCCTTTCCCTGTCAAAGCCCACCCAGGTCAGGCCAGCAGGGCATGAACATCTGTGGCCCCCACTGGGCCCCCCCACAGGAGGGAGCATGAAGAAGCTACATGGACTGTTGGAGAAGCAAACCAGTGACTAAGGGATGAGTTAAAATGTAGAGGCTAGAGTGAACTTGAGATTCAGTGAAGTGCATTATTTTTAAAAAATGCTTTAGTTTTGAACTTGTGTAAATTGAAACAGAGAAACTGAAGACAGGGTAGGAAGAGATGCCCCTGTGGAGGCTGCCCCGGGAAGGGGCGTAGCTCAGACAAGAGGTCACCCGCCCAGGTAGCCCAGCTGAGAGGCCAGCCTCCAAAGAAGGGCCACCCTCACCTGGGCACTCACTACAGCTCCCTGTGAGGAATGGGATTGGCCAGCAGCCCTGGGGGCAGGAACCACAGCAGTGTGGCTTGTGGTTTTGTGCCAAACATACTCTTCAGAGAATATGGCACTTTTACTCCTGCTCTGTGGGGGCAGCAGGGAGGACTCCTGGCCTGTGGGCTGTGGCTGTTCAGCGAGGGGAGGGTGTGAAGGCTAGGGCTCCCCCCAGTGACGTGTGGGCTACTCTGTGCACACTGTTGGCAGAGGGGTTAGAAGCACAGAGAGAGGGCTTGGGGAACAAGACTGGAGCAGGCCGAGAGGTGGGGTACTGCATCACTCTCCTGCCCTGTTTTTTCTCCTTGGGCTCTTCCTCTTGCCTTACCCTGAACTCACAGTTTCTCAGGTGCTCCAGTGCACAGGAAATTGAACAGTAACTGGCTAGGATGGGCCACAGTAGCCTCATCCTTGTTGAAGGTGACAGGATTTTTATTTTTTGACTTAAAATAGAAACTGTTGCTCTGTCTCTGCCCCGCCCTGAGCGTCACTGGGCCAGCTGCCTGCAGCTGCCGGTGTTCCTGTTTTGGTTTTGCTCATCATTGCATCACCCCAGTCCACACTGTGGCCAGTTAAACAACTGGGGAAAATTCAGAGGGACAACTAGCTGAAACGTCCCTCAATGCCTGGCGAAGCCTGGCCTTGTTCCTGCCCAGACTCAAGTGAGGGGCCGCAGAGGCTGCTGGGTGCATGCCAGCTGCTCCTTGCTCTGCTCTGCAAGGATGGAGTCTTGTCACTGTGCACTGGGAGCATCATGATGGCGGGGCAACACGACCTCTGTTGACCTCCACTTGAAGTCTGCCGTCCTGTCGTGGCACAGTAGCCACAAAGGACTTTGAGTAAACTTAGGTCTGTGTCAAGCATGTCTAACCCTTCTTAGAAGTTGGTATGTTCCAGAGAAGAAGCTTTGATTTCTGGCTTTATGTAGGACTTTAAGAAAACTTTGATAGTGATCTTGATAAAAGTGCTTTTGGCTTATAAAATTCGTGCCTTTGGGGGGCCTCAGGCTGGGCTGAGCTCCCTGCCATTCACCATGTGTGTTAGTGATGTGACCCCTGTACTGCAGGTCCTTCACAGAGCAGCTCAGAAAGATCTCAAGAGATGCTGGCATGCCCATCCAGGGCCAGCCGTGCTTCTGCAAGTATGCGCAGGGAGCGGACAGCGTGGAGCCCATGTTCAGGCACCTGAAGAACACATACGCGGGCCTGCAGCTGGTGGTGGTCATCCTGCCCGGCAAAACCCCCGTGTATGGTAAGTGTCTGGCTGTTTGCTGGCCTTGGGGAGCTGTAGTGTCTGTGGGTGTTTGTCATGGCCTGCGCCCCTTCATGTTTCTGCCACACTGAGGAGCTGCCAGGTTTAGGCCCATTCATTGCTGAGCCTGGGAAAGAAGAGGTGGTTTCTGATTACCCTCCAGGCCATAGCAGTGGGAAGCCAGCACCTTCGGGACACAGAACCCAGCACGTGTGCAGGCATCTATCTCATCCTCCGCACCACACAAGTATCAGCTGGTCAAAGTGTCTTACGCCAAAGGGCAATGCATATTTTTCCAACTAAAATGTGCTGCGCCCTAGAGAATGCAGAGAGAACTCAGGAAGCTCCAGGGTAGGAGGGAGAGACGTGCAGACCGGCGATTCTGACACAGTGAGGTAGAAGGTCTTTGAAGTGAGAGGAGCGCAGAGGCACCTGTAGAGGAGGTATCAGAACACGAACCTGTGGTGATGGGGGCCACAGGGCAGAGGGGTGCAGCTAGGACTTGGGAGTGTTGCCCACGGTGTCCCATCTAGCCAGTGATAGATTTCAAATATACAAAAGCCACACTTCTCCAAGTCCCAGCATCCCGAAGAAGAAGAAAGAAACCACTGGGTTCTGCATCCTGGGCATCACCTTGTCCACAGGGCTGCCCAGGGAGCTGCTAACCAGTTGCTCCCAAAAAGACTCCAGGGAGGGGGAAGGAAATGGTTCTTTGATATCTAGTTTGCGTTTGCTGAGGAATCTGCAGATGCCAGCATTTTTATTTTTAACTACTGGAGCATTTGCATGTAGCCGTGGCCCTGAGATAGGACGTGTCATCCCTGCTTGATATGCCAAGTCCTCTGCCCTGGCTGGGCCCTGCTCTGCCACCTGGGGCCCTGGATTCATCATTAGAATAGTCTTTGTGGCTTGGCACCCGTAGCACAGTGGTTACGGTGCTAGCCACATGCACCAAGGCTGGGGGGTTCAAGCCTGGCCCCGGCCAGCTAAATAACAATGACAACTGCAATAAGAAAATAGCTGGGCATTGTGGCGGGCACCTGTGGTCCCAGCTACTTGGGAGGCTGAGGCAAAAGAATCGCTTAAGCCCAAGAGTTTGAGGCTGCTGTGAGCTGTGATGCCATGGAATCCTACCAAGGGCAACAAAGTAAGACTCTGTTTCCAAAAAAAAAAGGAAGAGTCTTTGTTCAGCCAGTTGTCCAGCGTCCTCTCCTGAGTGAGGTAGGGCAGAGGTAGGACAACTCGTGGCTTGGCCAGGGAACCCCTCACAGCAGATTGTGGCTGGGAGGGGTTGAAGAAGCCTGTGGCAGCTGCCAGGGCCACGTGCTGCTGTGTGTTTCAGGTGGGCAGCAGGGGGCTGGTGACAGCTGCCACTGTTGGGGCAGCTGAGGGTGGGGTGCTATTGGAAGCAGTCACATGCGCCTTCTGTGTTCCATAGCTGAAGTGAAGCGCGTGGGAGACACTGTGCTGGGCATGGCCACACAGTGTGTACAGATGAAGAACGTGCAGAGGACCACACCGCAGACCCTGTCCAACCTCTGCTTGAAGATCAATGTCAAGCTAGGAGGCGTGAACAACATCCTGCTGCCCCAGGGCAGGTGAGGCCAGCCCCTGCATGTGGAGTGGTCCATGGTGCACGGGCAGCAGGGCCCCTTCCCTGGGGCTGAGCACTGTCCTGGACACCGTGGAGCAGGAAGTCAGGTGTATATCCTGGCTGCCCAGGGGACCGGGCATCTGCTCAGGTTGAGTGCCGTGGCCAGGTTTCCAGATAGGTCAAGGCCACAAGCAGGGCCAGGGAAGAAGGGACTCCTTCCCAGCCATGGATAGTGTCCTGGAACAGGAGTTGTAGGGCTGCACCTTAAATGTGATAAACAAGGCTCAGTGCCTGTGGCTCAAGTGGCTGAGGTGCCGGCCACATACACCTGAGCTGGCGGATTCAAATCCAGCCCAGGCCCACCAAATAGTAATGACGGCTGCAACCAAAAAATAGCCAGGCATTGTGGTGGCACCTGTAGTCCCAGCTACTTGGGAGGTGGAGGCAGGAGAATCACTTGAGTTGATCACTTGAGTTGGAGGTTGCTGTGAGCTGTGATACCACGGTACTCTACCCAGGGGGACAGCTTGAGGCTCTGTCTCAAAAAAAAAAAAAAAGAAAAAGAAAAATGCATTAAACAAGGGCCCACCTTGACTGGGCAGGAGATTGGCTTCCCTGGTTTACCTCCTGGGCCCTTGGAAGAGTGGCTGCCAGGGTGTCCCCTATACATCCCATGGGGTCATGGGAGCTACCTTGTGCTAGGACTTCACATTTTAGACTGAAAAGCTCCTCATTGGACTCCAGCTGTTGGTAGGTCCCAGGCCAGGGCAGGAAGGGTGACCAAGCTGCACTATTCCGGCACCCCCAGGACTGGAGTATGGCTCCCATATTCAAGGGCAAGGGGGTTTTGCCCCTCCATCAAAACCACCTGCCTCTGCAGGCAGAAAGAGGGTCTCCAGACAGTCATTTTCAGAGATCCCAGCGACCGTCTTCACATGCAAATGACCAACAGTGGTGAAAACAACGGACTGGGGGGCTCAGCCGTGAGTCCGGCTACCCCAGTGCAGGAGGGAGCCACGAAGACAGACGGTGGTCAGTGCCTCCCTTATCTCTAGGCCACATCCTGACAAACCCTTCCTCAGTCAAGGACCATACTGAGGCTAGGGCTCACGTGCCATCATAGCTCTGAAAATTATAAGTCAGGCTCAGCGCCCGTAGCACAGTAGTTATGGCACCAGTCATATACACCAGGGGTGACCGGTTTGAACCCAGCCCAGGCCAGCTAAAAACAATGACAACTGCAACAAAAAATAGCTAAGCATTGTGGCAGGCGCCTGCTACTTGGGAAGCTGAGGCAAAGGAATCACTTAAGCCCAAGAGTTTGAGGTTGCTGTGACACCACAGCACTCTACCCAGGGTGACATAGTGAGACTGTCTCAATTTAAAAAAAAAGAAAGAAAATCCTAAGTCAAACCATCGTAAGCTGAGGACCTTCTGTGCTGGGAATGGCAATCTAGGCGAGCCTAGACCTCAGCCTGCCCCAGCTGTCTTGGTGTCACACCACCTGCCTGGCTGGCTCCCACAGGGTCTGACTTGCAGCTGGGCCCGTGAATTCACACTCCTGCCAGGCTGCTATGCGGTGCTGGTGCACTGGATATGGCCACACTTGGGAACCTAAGTTACACTATTAATTGAGCATTACATGAGAAGACTCTGAGTTCATGGTCATGTAGACAAGGGTCTGAATTAGACAGGTTTGAATTATCCCTCTGCTTCTCACTTAGGTACAGGGAGGGCTGCCACCCGCCTGCCTACCTGCCCTGCCTCAGAAAGTGGTGCTAGGACACAACAGTAGGCATAGGTTCTCAGCAGGGCTGGTTGTGCCCCCAGGGCCTGTGTGGCAATGGCTAGAGATGTTTGGGGTGTCATGATTTGGGGATGCTGCTGGCGTTAGGGGCCATGATGCTATTAAATCCCTTTTCCCCCAACAAAGAATGATCCGGCCCAGGGGTGTCAAGGCTGCAAAACTCTGGGGACTACAGCACAGTGGTGAGCCAGAGCTGAGTAGCAGGCTGAGGGGCTCTTTTGGGTAATTTTTATTTTATTTATTATTGTATCTTTTGAGACATTCTCATTTTTTGAGACAGCCCATGGCACTACATTGTGGGTAGAATGCCATGGTATCATCATAGTTCACAACAACCTCAAATTCTTGGGCTTATGCAATCCTCCCGCTTCAGCCTCCCAAGTAGCTGGTACTACAGGTGCCTGCCAAGATGCCTGGCTAATTTTTCTGTTTTTAGTAGAGACGGGGTCTCACTCTTGTCATGCTTGTTTCAAACTCCTGAGCTCAGGTGATTCACTTGCTTCAGCCAGGATGAGCACTGGGAACCACTGTACCCGGCCAGTTTTTATTTTGGAAACATTCAAGTATGTACGAGGTAAAAGCTATGGAATGGTGAATCCTTGTGGGCCAGAACACTGGCCAGTCTGGTCTTGGGGGAGGGGGGGTGTCTTCCACCTAGGCCCTGAAAACCCACATTTTTCTGAAGCAGACTTCTTTTTTACTCTGTGAGACTTTCTGTATTGCCATAACATGGCAGGGTAATGGCCTTGTGTGGTCCTCCTACCTCAGCCTCCCACAGTGCTAGGGTTCCAGGCATGAGCCCAGGGTAGGATTCTTTTCAGAAATGGCAACCATAATGCACTTGCCACCTCAGAGGTGATGACAGTGCCTGCTGTGGTGAGAGGTCCAGGCTGTGGCCCTCCCTGGCCCCTGACTATGCTTATCCCTGCAGGCCTCCAGTGTTCCAGCAGCCTGTCATCTTCCTGGGAGCAGACGTCACTCACCCACCCGCTGGGGATGGGAAGAAGCCTTCCATTGCTGCTGTGAGTGTTCCACGTTTTCTCTTGGGTACTCTGTTGGTGACATGCTGCACTGTGCTTGTCCCACTGCAGCAGTAGGACCGTGGGTTCCTTTCTGGAAGGATGGAGCCCACTGAACTATAGCTAGGGAAATCAGGGTCTGCTGGCAGGAGGGTGATGCTAACTATGGCATAAGGCCCAGGAAGCAGTGGGAGCCATGGACACTAGTCTTTTCCAAATGTATGCCGGACCTCAGCGGGCCCACGAGCATAAACAACGTGCAGGCAGGGCTCACCTGCCATCTCCCCTGTACTCACGTAGCACCTGATGGTTTCTTGGCCGGTGGAGACAAATGTTGGGCCTCTTCTTGCTATTTTGTTTTTTATTATAAAATATCAAATGTAACATACACAGCCAAGTTAAAATTCTACTTTTTTTCTCCAACCTGTTTTCAGTCTCCTAAAGGCAACTGTTGTGAGCTGTCCATGGTTTTGTGGGTCTTGCTCTGTTGCCTAGGCTAAAGGGCAGTTATGTGATCATATTAACAGCTCACTACAGCCTCCAACTCCTGGACTCTAGTGATCCTCCCACATCAGCCTCCCAAGCGCTAGGACTGCAGGCAGCTCCTGCCATCCCTGACTAATATATACATATATATATGCACATGTGTTTTGCTGAGATGAGGTCTTGCTGTATTGCCCCAGATGGTCTTATATCCCTGGCCTCTGGCAGTCCTCTCTCCTCAGTCTCCCAAAGGGCTAGGATTAGGCATGAGCCAGTGCATCCAACCAGACCATAATTTTAAAAGCTGTGAATTAGATTCAGGTGTAGAGCTGTTACCAGTTCTACTTTTTTTTTTCTTTTTTTTTTTTTAGTCACTCTCACTTTGTCACCCCTGGTAGAGTGCTGTGGCGTCATAGCTCACAGCAACCTCAAACTCTTGGGCTTAAGCAATTCGCTTGCCTTAGCCTCCCAAGTAGCTGGGACTACAGATGCCCACCACAATGCCCAGTTATTTCTAGAGACGGGATCTCACCCTAGCTCAGGCTGGTCTCAAACTCATGAGGTTAGGTAATCAGCCTACCTCGGCCTCCCAGAGTCCTGGGATTACAGGTGTGAGCCACTGTGCCTGGCCCCAATTCTACTCTTAAGAGTGTCATCAGGGTGGCGCCTGTGGCTCAAGGAGTAGAGCGCTAGCCCCATATACAGGAGGTGGTGGGTTCAAACCAGCCCTGGCCCAAAATTGCAAAAATAAAAGAGTGTCATCAGGAGTGAGGCCACCACCTGGACTCAGGGTGGTCCAGGCAGTGCATGTGCACGCTTTGCACTGCCCTCTGGTCACTCGTGGGAAGGCCCAGGGTGATTGTTCTCTGGAGGGGGCAGTGTAATTGTTACCATCTCCACCTTTCTTTTTAAAAGGACAGAACCAAACCATGCACAGTCAATAGTCTGGTTTTTAAACTGGGAATGCAGACAGCAGAGCATTAGCTCTAAATCTCCTTGGGAGACTGCAGTGTGCTGCAGTGGCATAGCTATGTGGAGGGAAGGAAGCACTGGGCTTCTATTCCAGTCATGTGTCTGAATCCCGCCCTCATCCACAGTAAGCCCCCTCCAGGATGCTGGCAAATCCTCCTGGGATTCCCTGGCCCTCCCTGGAAAAAGTGCCTCAGAGGCCTGGGCAGAAATTGGAGCCCAGAGCCCTGCACATGGGGGCCTGTCAAGCTAGTGGACAGCCGTGGGTATCCTGAACAGCCCCTACCCCCAGCTTCCTACACCAAGAATGAAAACACCAGCTATGGGCTTAGCCCTAAGTGCTGGACACACTTGAGCACTATTTTCTGCTGTTCCACTCAGGCAATTGAGCTTAACATTTATGAACCTTCTCATGCGTAAAATGAGGAAGCAAATGTGGACCTCTTGCTATGAAGTGATGGGGTCGAGGCCTTGGCACAGTGCCTGGCGTGGAGCAGATGCTTGGGTGCTGCCAGCGTTGTTCCTTGGTTGGCCTGGAGGGAGTGTGAGCAAGACATTCCACTGGGGCATGAGGGGCCAGGTGATCTGCCCTGGGTAGAGAACAGCAGGTGCTTGGGTGTCGTTCAGAGGCTACACTTCCTCCAGTGAATTAGTGTCACTGAAGTAATTCCTGCCACATGGCCCAGCAGGCACAGCCCTGCCCCTTCCCATGCATACAGTGTATCTCACCTCACTGGGTGTTTTCTAGCCCTTTCCTCTTCTGATCAGCAAAGACCAGCACGTAGGTCCCCTTGGTAGTGCTGTGTGCTGGGCTGCAGGTGAAGGTGTGGGGTCTGAGCAGCCGCCTCCAGCAGGCACAGCCAACCTCTCCCAGGGCCATGTCCCGACCTCTTCCTGCCTCACCTCTCCGGGTCCGTCTTCATCTTTTTCTGCACAAACATTGTGTCACGTTGAAACGTGTCCTTGGTCTTACAGACTTGTGCTGGCTTGTTCACATTCTCAGGAGCAGACAGAGCTGTGTGTCTCCCTCCATCCCCTCACTTCTCAGTCACTAGGAGCAGAGATTTCTGTGAGGGTTTTTCCAACTAGAAACATTTCAGAGTCTATTTTTCTCTTGCTTAGATGGAACAGGAGAAAGGATATGGAATACATGGGAGGAAAATCGGGGAGAAACTGTTCCGTGAGGATTTCCAAAGAAGGCAGATTGCCAAGAAATATATCTCATTTTTCAGGGACACAAAAGGAGCTTCTCACTCTCAGTGTTTTTCAGAAATTTGGGAGACTTGCCAGTCCCAGCCAGGTGAGAGGTGCCAGGACAGCCTGGCCAGGCCTCCTTACAGGGCTGGGCTGTCACCCTCATGGCCCCTCCCCGGACAGGGACTGCCCTCGTGGCCTTGCTCCTTCTGTTCTCTTGGTCAGTACCTTCGGGAGCCTATTCACACGGCTGGTTTGTTTTGGGCTGCCCTCTGTTCCAGGGACCACATTCTTGGCATACCATGTGGGGATGTGCACAGGACTCCTTAGAAAGAGCAGTTTGCCATGAGAGCACCAGGGACACCCTCACCAGTTGCTTTCCTTGGACTGATTAATTCAGCCAAATCTGATCACAAGCAGAATGAGTTTCTGAGTAATCTTCTATTTTTTTATTACATACCTTGGGGCAAACTTTTGTGCCTTAAAACACATTTGTAAACACTACAACTGCCAGACCGTCAGGGAGCGCCTAGAGGTTGTGAGATCACCAGCAGTGGGAGTGTCAGCTATGGTGCGAGTCCCAGGGTAAAGATGCTTTTGTCCCTCCCTGGGCCCTGCTCCAGCACACACTGGGAGAGGGAGCTTTCAGGAACTCTTGACCGCACTCACTACCTGTCCCCGCAGGTGGTGGGCAGCATGGACGCCCACCCCAACCGCTACTGTGCCACAGTGCGTGTGCAGCAGCACCGGCAGGAGATCATTCAGGACTTGGCCGCCATGGTCCGCGAGCTCCTCATCCAGTTCTACAAGTCCACACGCTTCAAGCCCACCCGCATCATCTTCTACCGTGATGGAGTCTCCGAGGGACAGTTCCAGCAGGTTGGCTCCTCTTAGCTTCCCCCGCTTCTTGAGTGTCTTTGATTCCCATTTGTGCACTGAGCTGCCTCCCCAGGTCCCCAGTACAGAGAACAATGTGATGTACTTTCTGCCCCACTATTAACCTGGCGGGTTGGGGAAGAGACAGGAGATGGGTTGTCCAGGCACTGGCTGAGGCAGGACAGAGGGAGAGGTGCGCATCTCCCTCTGTCAGGGGAGAGGGGCGCCCCTGTGGCGGTGTGCCATCCTTGTGCCTTCTGTGTGCCTTCCAAGACTCTGGGCTTAGCCTTGTAGGTGGTTCGTTATATAGGGACAGTGTACTTGAGGGACCCAGTCCCATCATGTCTGGGGACACCTGTCTGCAGTGTGAGGGCCAGTCCAAAGGGTGGCTGCTTGGCAGCAGGGTGAGAGTTGTCACATGGGGCCAGCTGGGTGTGGCCATTGCTGGGTGTGGAAAGAGTGGCAGGCCAGGTGAGAGTCCCTGCCATGTCTGGGAGGCCAAGGGAGTCATCACAGTTGGGGCCACTGAGGGGGATAGGGTTTTCATTATTCTCTTTAGTTGAAAGTACCTGTACCACCCCACAGAGACCTGTGGGCAGTTATAAATCTATCCTGGCCTGGATTTCGAGCCATTGGTACCCAGAACACCCCTTACCCATGGCCAAGCCTGCCTCCTCTGCCTTAGTCCACTCCCCTGAGAGGCATTAGCCACAGGCCGTATCTGCTAAGGGTATAACCTTGATGTTCAAGAACCCACCTGCCTGATCACCAGGCCAGAGCATACTCCTCAAGGCATGCACACGCTTGTCTTCTGGGGCCAAAGGGAAGAGTGGCTGGTACTGAGGCCCTTGCTCCTAAGTGGCTGGCATTTCCTGGCCAAAGCCTATGCTTTTATGTGTGTGTCTGTGTTTGTTTTTTGAGACAGACTCCCATTCAGTTCCCCTGGGGTTAAGTGCTGTGGCGTCACACTCAAACAACCTCAAACTCTTCGGCACAAGCGATTCTCTGTCCTCAGCTTCCCAACTAGTTGGTACTACAGGTGCTTGCCACAACACCTGGCTATTATTATTTTTTTTTTTTAGAGACAAGGTTTCACTCTGGCTCAGGCTGGTCTCTAACTCATGAGCTCAGGCAATCCACCCACTTCAGCCTCCTAGTGTGCTAGGATCACAGATGTGAGCCACCACGCCCTGCTCTGCAGCCTATGTCTCTGGGGGGCTCTGGTGGGTAGCTGCTGCACCGTGCCTCCCAGTCTGGTGTCCTGGCTGCCTCTTCACAGAACCTTCTGGGTGCCTTCCAGTAGGAAATGTTCTCCCCTTGTTGAGCTTCCAGCTCTCCCATCCTGTACCATAGGCCTCCCTGTAAGAAGGGAGATTTCTGCTTTTCTCTGTTTTTCCCATTTGTGAATTAGCACGCTCAGTGGGAATCTCCACAACTGGGTTTTCTGAACCCAGAAGACAAGACGTTTTTTTGAGACATTGTAACCCAGCATTCAGTTCTTTTTTTTTTTTTTTTTTTTTTTTTGAGACAGAGATTCAGTTCTTTTTTGCCTCAGATTTCCAAGTAGCTAGGATGATAGGTGCCCACCACAATGCTCAGCTAGTTTTTCTATTTTTAGTAGAGACCAGATGTGGCTCTTTCTCAGGCTGGTTTTAAACTCCTGAGCTCAAGCAGTCTACCAGTCTCAGACTCCC